TCACAATACTGTGACACTTGAGAAACAAGTTACGTATTATTGATCACAAAGCCATTAACCCCTCTCCTAGAGCGTGAGGTCATTACATAGTGGGATGACCCCAGTGTAATGATTTACCAAACCTTGTCAGTATTGGCTTCAACAAGCGTACCTTAAGTTAAAATTGGGATATTTTTATTTTCTTTAAACATGGTTCAAGGGTTAAAAAAAAGTATTATTTTAATTCCAAAGATTGATCTACCATACTTTAAAATAGGGAATACTAACTTAATAAATGCATTTTAAAAGCGTAAAAAACACAATATAAGCAATTAAACCTTTTTCAAGTTTTAGCACTTGCTTTTTCTTTCTTTTACCTTCCACTTTACTATCATTTCCAGATATCTTTGTAAAATCAACTAAATAGAAATTATGAACACCTTTCAGAGACAAATTATACAATCCAAAAAAATGAAATTAAAAAACATAAAAGAGGAAATTATCGACAATCAGTATTTAACCTGAGATTATAATAATAATAAAATTATGGCATATCAAATGTACTCAAAATAGCTTTAGCATAAACAAAACAAAAATAAAAACTTGTTATTTAGTAAAAACATCAAAAGTAATTTTTTAACCTTTTAAACATTATGTTAAAACAATGTTATTTTGCAGCTATTTTACTTCATACAATATTTATTAAGGCTAAATTTATTTTGTGATTTCAAAAACTAATTTGTTAACCACTTTTGCAAACAACTTTTTTTTGCTAGAAATTTTCATTAAAATTCAAATATAAATTAAAAATACAGGTTACTATCACTTTACTTAAGTTTAGAAAACATTTAATGTTAAACTTTGAAGCTTGAACTAAGCTTGTGGTAGCTTAAGCATCATATCAATTTTTTTTATTATTATTAGGAAATGAAGAAATTGTATAACTTTTAACATTCCTAACCTTCATGGAAGGATCTTTTAGGATTTTTTTTTTCTTCCAGTTTCACTTTCTATAACTATAAACAAAATGATAACAATATAAAAAAATAATAACTAAAAACCTTACCTAAAAGAATACCAAAAAAGTAAACAAATAAAAAATCAGTTGAACCTTTTTTTAAATCAAGGACTGGCCTAATTTTTAAACCACTATTCAGTTTACTATCATTTTTGGTTATCAACTCAACTAATAAGTAAAAATAAAATAAAAGTATAAATCAATTAAAAAGTAATCTTTTTATATTAAATTCAACTTTAAAAAAGCAATCAACATTACTCACCATCAGTTGGTATTACATGTTCTCCTATAGTGCTTAAGTCTTGTTCAGCTGAATTAGAAATAATTGACTTGAATGAAGTTAGATCAACCTTTGTCACTTCTTGAATAGCTCTTAGTCTTTTGCCTGTTGTTTTTATTTGTAAGGATCCAGGAGCAGCTTGGTAAACATTTTGATTGATTCTTTCTGAATGTCCAAAGTGATTATAAATCAAAGTTTTTTCCTTTTCTGATAACTCCAGCTTTGCTAAGATTGTAGCAATACGATGCCGATTTTGGGTGGCATTAATTGCACCTTTTTTATCTAAACGAATTAATATTTCATTTATGCAATGCCAACCACTAGCATGGCTCATGCTTTTTTGGGTACTGGCAAAAATATATTGGTTTTCATCAGGAATTCCAGCATTTTTCCTAAAATCTCAAGTCAGATATCGCATTGCTTTTATGCATTCTGGTGGAAAGAGAACAGGAACTGTGTGATCCGAACCTTTACCTGTTTGATAAGTGATAAACATTTGCTCAATATCAAATTCTTCAGGCAGATCTTGTTTATCCATCCATTCTCCATTTAAAGCCTCATTCCACTGAAATAAATGTAACCGCATAGGTTCTCCACCTCGTCTGGCATTAAATATAGTCAAACATGTGGCAGTTGCAGATCGGATAGTGACAAATGATTCACATGGATGTTGAAAATCATCAATAGAATTCATAATTTTGTTACATTCCTTAATAAGCAGTTAAACATCTGCTTCATTTGGGAGATTAATTGGTTTCCGCAAATCAATATTTTTACGATAATTTAGATTATAATAAGCATCACCAAATAAATCATCTTCATAAAGCTTTAAAACCTTGAAAAAGTCAACTACTCTCTAAGATTTCAAATCATCATTTTTTACCAAAAAGTAACCAATCAAAAATTTTGCTGTTAACTTTAATAAATTAAGTATACTGATTTTTAGGCCACTTTTTTGTGCACTTAATAAAAGATGGTCCGAATCTTCATTTGATTTTTCTGATAAAGAATTAATAGCTTCTCCAACTATGGTGATTACTTCTTGACAGTACATGTCAGCTGCATTATTTAAGATATTATCTATTTTAACAGCTTTCTGATTGCTATAGATACTTTTAAAAGATAAGTATAATCTTGCAGTTAACCGCATTCGTGAACGAACCAATCTTTTAGTCTCTGAAACTTTATCTTTCTTTCTTTTAAGAGCGCTATAAGATCTAGAACCAATCATTAAAATGATTTTGTCAGTTTTAATATAGTTTCCAATATCATCCAGTTGTAATTTGTTTAGAAGGTTGACAAAACCATTTGAATAATTTTCATAATCTTCACTTGCTATAGAAACCATAGGTATCATTAGATTGGTATTTGTACTTTGGCAAACAAGTTGGTGACGAGCTTTATACTTTCTTGAATAGAAACCTTTACACCCACAACACATAAGAGGGAGTTTATCATTTTGTATTTTTGACTTTCTTTCTCTAATAAAACATGTTTGACCTGATTCCACCAGTGAAACATTGTGATTTCTAATAGCTTCCTTTCGAAATATTTCTATATAACGATTCTGATCTACAGAGTTCATATTTATATAAGATATTTATATAAGATTTATATAAGAGTTCATATTCATATAAGAGGCAATACCGAAATTTCAGTACCATGCTTTAAAAGAATATGGCGTTTTAACCGAGTCTGAGGAACTTTGCAAAATAAACAAAGTCGTGCTGGTTTTGTGTACTTGTTGGTTTCTGGTTTTGAGGTATCAACCTCAATTTCTCCACATGTTTTAATTAGATTCAAACATTTTTTTGTAATTTTACCAAAATCATCACATGTTGAGTTTAGGTCTTCTTAAGGAACATCATTATTGGAAGCTTCTGAAAACGTTTTTAGTTCTTCCCAAAAAGCACATCTTTCAATTATAGGAGTTGTAATTAAACTAGGAAGTACAGCAATAAACTCTGTTTCTTTGTTTGGTGACAAACACACTAACTCGTTTTCTTTTTCAAAAATAAGATCACGTTTTGTAAAACTTGATTCAGTTATATTATCAACATTGGAAAGATATTGATATTCAATTTCTAAGTCAGAATCATCAAACAATCATTTTTCAATGAAACTTTCAAAACATCTAATTTCTAAACAACAAATTGACTGAACAGTTAACATAAAAACTTAATCAAACAGCAAAAGCACTTTAAAATTTTGAAATTATTACCAAATATTTAAGTACTGGTAAATGTTAGTAATTTTTGACTTAAATATAAATACACTAGATAATATCTTAAATAATGCAGATGACATGCCCTGTCGAGAAGTAATTGCCATAGTTGGAGAAGTTATTAATTCTTTAACAGGAAAATCAAATGAAGATTAATTTATTAAGAATATGGTAAAAAATCATAAAAACATGATACAAACGTGATAAAATTTGTATATCATTAATTATGTAGTATTTAATTTTTCTTTAAAACAAGGTTTTACTTAAGTAGTTAATAACTATTAAGTTATCTATTTGTAGTAAATAATTACATCATTGAAGCATCATTTTTAAACTTTTTCATGTGAAATAACAAAATGATTTGGTTGTATAATTATTACTTCATTGGTGGTTGTATAATTATTACTTCTAATTGATGCAATAATAATTAATGAAATTATTAATTATAAATATAACTAATGAATTATAATTGAATAATAATTAATAGCTTTTATTTTGACAGTAATATCTAGCTGCACTTTATTGCAGACTTGACTAAAAGACTTGCTTATTTTTTAGTATACATTTAGTATATTTTATCTGCTTTGTTTTTTTTCAGCATGTTTTAAACAGTCCTTGGTTGGTATTCTGCAATGCTGAAATAACTGCTGACCTCTAAGTGTTTGAAGTTGGCTAATATTTTTGCGTGTTTTATACCGCAACAACATATTTATTGTAAGAGACAAAAGATGCAAAAAGTTATAGAACAACTTATTATTGATGTTTAAGCTACAAGCTTATTTTATACCTTAACTTTATAAAGAAAAAATAATAAAAAAGAAAAGAGTTTTAACTTTGTCAAAAAATGTTTTAAAAAGTGAAAAGAAATAACCACTAAGATATTAGACCACTATAGTTTGATTTACTAAGGTATTCTATACAAAAAAATATTGTCTAAGAAAAAGCTTTTATTATGAAACCTGTTTATGTTAAGTATTTAAGAGTTTTTAAATAAAATCATAACCCAATGTTTTATTTTATGTAAATGAAATAAAATATAATGATGCCTTAACATTTAATAAGTATACAAGTAATTTTAATTCTTAACAAGCATGCCTAAATAATATACTTTAAACTTTTAAATATATGCTCAATTAAAAATAAATAATAAATGTAGAGTATAGTGCAAAACTTTCACATTATGGTACTTCAAAAATATATCAGAAGCTTTGAAAAAATAAATCTAAAAAATTAAACCATTTTTGGTTAATCAAAACAGTCTTAATAGTCTATACAATGTCAAAACCAAACATAGCAAAAGTTTTTTATTATTAGTTTTTTTATTTTATCATACCAGTCATAAGAATCCTCACTATTTCTATATTTATCTACAAATTTAAATAAATGAAAACAAAAAACTGTCATATTCATTTTTAGATTTCAAACTCCCGATCTTCTCACACTACTTTTGTAAAACCTGAAAACCTTAAACAATGTTTTAGTTTTTAGGTAAAAGTAACAAGAACAAAATGTATTAACTTGAACTTCTTATGTTGAACAAAAAATGATAGTAATAAACCAAAAGTTAAAACTTTTTAAAGATAAAAGCATTTTTTTAAATAAAATTTAGAAAACTTGATTTGAGAGTTATGATAATAATTAATAAACAAAAAATAATTAACTATAAAATAAATATTAACATAAATAAAACATACCATGGTCCGCCAGAACATTTTCTTTCTTTCATCACCATAATTTAGTTCTATTCAGTTTTTTTTTTAATAAATCTAGTATGCAGATAGGAAATCATTTTTATCTGTTGTTAATTTCACATATATTTCTTAGTCTCAAACCAGTTTTTTGTGCTCTTAATTAAAGATTATTATTTTATACAGCATCATCCTGGACACCAGATAATAGAAAAAATTATAGTTTAAAGCTGATGTTATTTTTGAGACACTACAACTCTTTTATTTATTCACAAATTTCCTAATGAATTATTTTAAAGTAATTTCACAGTATAATTTTATGACAAACAGATTAAGAATTTACTAAAAACTAATTTTTACCTCAAAAAAAAACAACAACCATGCAAACCATGTATTGTAAGCCGAATCGTAAATGGAATAATATTTTAAAATATAAAATATACCTTAATTCAGTACCAACATCTTTTGTTTTTGTAGCGAATAGACAAAGACTAACCCGATTAGACCCAACTATTCTTTTCATCTTTGCATTAGCATATATTGAAGGTGAGTCGTTTACCATGCATCCAATGAAACTTAGTTGGTTTGTGGCATCAATGCTTAAAAAAAAAAATTAAATGAGTATCAGAAGAATAAAAAACAATAACAGAAAAATTTTGTTTCATAATTTTCATGAGTAAATTTAAATTGCATGATCAATGTTTATTTTTGTATTTATACTTTCTTAAATATGTAAAAAATTCTAAAAAAGCCATAAAAACCATACAAATTTAAGAGCCATACAAACCATAAAAGTTTAAGAAGAACAAAATAATAAAAAATGAAAAAATATTTAACATACCAAACAGATTTACCATAAATATCTTTGATCCTATTATAAATAAAACAACCCAATCCTTCATTCTCATATTGTTGAGACCTCAATTTTGCCTCATTTAAACTAATAACATCACCTAATTAATACAGATACAAAAATATTTATACACATGAGACAGAGTTGTTAGCCAATAGCTAATTCAAAATTTCAGGATATTTTTTCAAGACTTTTTAAGGAAAGTTTTGGGTTTTTTAAAGATATAATGATCTTTATTCAACCAGAAAAAAAAACAATATGTTGATTTATAAAAAAAATATGAAAAAGAAAAATGACTAAATAAATAGTAGATGTTCATATTACTGACAGTAACATTAAACAAAACTTTTGATGAGTTACAAAAAAACATACAATTATTACATTCTCTGTAAATCTACACAAAATTAAGAATCTGTAAAAGATAAAAACATGACAAAATATTGAACTTTAAAAGACAAACAGGATTTCTAAGAATTATTGCTAAAAAGTGTTTTTTCAAGACTTTGCCAGGTTTTTAAATACAGCTGACCACTCTATAAAAAATATAGTCAGTTTGACTAATTATTTGGCTGGTACTCATATCTTATGTACTGAAATCCAAAATTTAGCAGGTACTGGATACTTCAGATACTCAAATCCAAAATCAGCCGCATTTCCTGACTCAGGGACCAACATTAATTTATCCATTCATTTATTTAATTATCCATTATCTTATCCAACATCAGGGTTGGGATCAAATAAGTATTTGGTAAAAAAAATTTGATGTATTTGTATTTGTATTGTTATTTGATAAAAAAAAATTTCCTAAATATTTGTTTTTGATTTTAATGTATTTCTGTTCCAGTTTCATAAAATAGGTTAATCAATGTTTTTTTTGTTGATAATACCATATTATTTATTGTTTTTTTTTTCTTCATTTTTAACAATAAAATAAATTAAAAACTTGTTTTTAAAGAATATTTGTTAAAAGGCTTGTTTTTATTCTTCTATATAGTAGACCATTATATCAGTCTTGTCTTGAAAAAATCTTTATATTTTCTCTTGACCTAAATTTCAAATAATAGTATTTGAATTTGGAAAATACTGATTACATATATTTTGTATTTCTATTTGAAAATCTATTTGTGTTTAATCAAACATATTTGATTCTAACTATGCTTGACATAGATAAAAAATATGCTAATTAACATGGCAAAAAAATTTAAGAAAATTCCATCACAATAACACAATTGCTTCGCAAACTACACAAAGACCACTAAAACATTTAATAACAACAACTAACACCACTAATAACAAATTAAAATTATTAACAAAGCTAAGTAAAAATCTTTATATTCACATAACTGTATGTTAAAAAAATAAGTTTAATAAAATCTAAAAAAATCACATAAAAAATACCTCTGTACTGTAAAGGAAAGTTTCCTTTCAGAAATTTATTTGTTGTAAATACACCATAACCTGAATTGGTTAAACAATAAGTGAGTCTGATAAATTATTTAATAAACTTTTAGTTTAAAAAAAAAAAAAAAAACCTATGACTTTTAAAACAATATTAAATAAGAATTGGGAAACTAAGCCTTGTAGTGTCATCCAAGCCTTTAATATTTTTTAATGGTTCCATCAATATTAAAGATCTAAAACTGTTAGGAATCTCAACGAAAGATAATAACCAACCCTGGGAATTAGAAAAAATGAGGTCGGCAATTAATTTAGTTTGCCGACCTCAATCTTATATAGATTGGCAAAAAAAATGTGAAACTAAGGTCTTACCATTAAACACTAAAATGAGGTCAGCAATTTTTTGCTGACCTCAAACACTTTGAGGTCAGCAGTTAGGTTGGCATTGCAGAATGCTGACTCCAAGTGTTGCTTAACTTAAGATACTACAACAAAAAAGCCATAAGACATCGCCAAAATTTATTTTGGTAATTTTAAGAGATTAGATAAAAACAATGAATATGACTTTTGATTTAATAGTAAAATATAGTAGTAGGGATCTTAAACTCTTAACACACGTTGTGTTCATATTAAAAATGTTTAAAAAAATGGTTTACTCATTAAAAAAGAGAAAATCATAAGATGAATTATTTACATAAAATAGTGAACTTTTAAAACAATATACAATAAGGAACAACAAATCAAACTTTTATCAAAGTATATTTTATGACTAAAAAAACCTAAAGAATATAAAACAATGTATAACAGGGATGTGATTATAAAAAATATCAGCTAAACAACAGCCAAATGAACCTTAGTATGACTTTTAAATCAATATATAAAAGGAAACAACAAACCAAACCCCAAGGAGTTGTCCATGAAAAAGGTAACAATAAATATATTTTGCACTTTTTTAAGATTTTCATTTAACTTAATTAGCTATTTATATTTTTCATATTATGGATTTTTTTGTTGATGCACAACTTACTGACAATACCTTAAGGCAACCTCTGCATTTTCAAACAAAAAAACCTTAAATTGAATTTTAAATTAATTTGAAGCAAATTTTAGAGTGTCATTTAATTATTTTAAAAAATATATTTTATCTAATAACTTAAGTATCTTAAAATTAAACTAAAAATACGAAACAAGGAACAATTAACTAAACCTTAAGACTCATACATACTTTTTAAAGATATTTTTGTAATGAAATTCAGTAAAAAAAAGAGCTTAAAGGTGACTTTAATAATTTAAAAAAATAAATTTTTTTAATACTTTAATTTATGACTAAAGACTTAAAAGGTAAAATTTAAAACAATAAATAACAAGGAACAATAAAGCAAACATAAGGACAACATAAAGATTTTCTAAAGATATTTTAAAATATAATTCAATCAAAAAAGAGACAATCAAAAAAATCTTAGGGTGACTTTTAGAATAAAAATTAAAAAGCAATAATAAAACACACCTTAAGGCAATCTCCATATTTATTATTAGAAATTTTTAAGTAAAACTCAGAAAACGAAAAAATACCTTAAGGTGACTATTAAAAACAAGATGACAACTAGATTTTTATACAAAATAATTTTATAGTAAAATTAAGTAAAACAAAGAACCTTGAGGTGACTTAAAGCAATATAAAATAAAACACTTAAAACAATATACGAAAATGAAGAATAAATTAAATCTTAAAATGAAGAATAAACTAAATCTTAAATAACTAAACAAACTTAAGGTAAAATTTAAAACAAAATATAATTAGAAACAATATAAAAAACTGTAAGGCGACATATAGACTTTTTGAAGATATTTAAAAAATATAATTCAGCCAATCAACAACTTAATGTGACTTTAAAATGAAAAATAGAAACCAACAATAAAACAAACTTTAAGCCAACCTATAGATTTTCTAATTGTATATTTTTATAGTAAAATTCAGTAAAACAAGAGATGAAATTTTAAAAACAATATATATATATATATATGAAAAGAAGAATAAAGTAAACCATAAAGTGTCATCAAGATTTTTTAAATAATTTATTTCAAAGATAAAGAAACTTTTATAGTTAAAAAAATAATAAGGTAAAATTAAAATCAATATATAAAATGGTAGAATAAACCAAACCTTGAGAGGTCACCTAGATTTTTAAAAATCTTACTTTATTAATAAAATAATTTTCATAAAATTTAAAACAATATATAACAAGGGATTATGAGAAAATTTAAGGAAACATAAAGACTTGTAAAAGTTATTTTTGAAATATAATAAATATATGACAACATCTATATCCTTTTGCAGATATTTTTAAAACATAATTAAGCCAAACAAGAAAATCCTTTGGTGGATGGATGTTAACTTTTGTAATGTATCAAATTTTTTTATATGAATTTTTAAAGAGAAATTTCTGTTTTTTTTTTTAAAGTTTTATATTTTTATATTTTATATTAGTTTTTATAAAACTTTTATATATTTTTTTTTTACAATTTTTTTCAGTAAATTTATCCGTCAAATTATTTATTTTAGCAACGTCCTAAACAACCATAGTTTCAACCTTATGGCCCAAAGTCTAAAAAAGTTTTGCATCAAATTAAAAATAAGTCAGAACTTACTTTAAAAATTTAAAACCAATATATAAAGTTTGTTAGCTAAATTTAATCATATTTGATTTTTAATTTTAATAAATGATATCTTTTTCTATGCTATTTTTATATCTTGCTTTTATATCTTTTCTATGCTATTTTTATATCTTGCTATTTTTTTCATAACATGTTAAAAAATATCAGGATAATTTAAGGGTCAAAGCGTTTTAAACTTCTTTGATTCCCAGGTCCCGTAACCATGAAAAACAGTTTCTTCATAGTTACCAATTGTTATCATGAAAAAAAAATCATTTGTTCAATTTAATCTTTTTCCAGTGGTTGTCATTTTAGTACAAAATTTGAAACTTAGGACTTTTTATTGAAATAGTCTTTCTCCAAAACTTTTTATTGATTTGGTTTTCATGGTAACAGTAGTAAAAGCAGTTTATAATATTTTATAATTTTTATGCAAGTTACTCACCATAGAGTTCTTTATCATTCCTGATACATGATTTTAATTCCATTTAAAAGAATTAATAGTGTAGCATTAATTTTTGCAGAAATTCAGCTTTTTTCAAATTTTGGTTTTAGACCTATAATCAGGCTTGGTCGGAAAGCGGGTGCAATCGCACTCGATAATTGACCACGGAAATTATATTTACTTGCGATAAGCCGGCCAGATTTTTCAGGCGTTTTGAGAACATTTAAGTTTATGTATGTTTCCTTTTTTTGTCCACAAAAAATTAAATTTATTATTTTATCGTAAATTTTAAAATATTTTGTTTTACGGACGTACATGGAAACTTATATAAACTTGAATGTTGTCAAACATCTTAGTGCGGAAAAATAAATAAAGAATATTCGCGAACACAAAAAACCCTCCAAATTTACGAACAACTAATTCTATTGATTCAATTAATAAATAACTGAAATTACTAAAGAATTCAAGGGAATGGTCTAGAGTATTCTGTTGAATTATTTTTCAAAATCGTATAATTTGAGTTTTGTTATGTTTTCGTTGAGATTTCTAGCATCAATTGCTTTAAGAAAGTACTATCAAGCGAACAATTATTTTAATACAGTGGCTCATTCTCGGAGTCACATCTACAAAGCTATAAATGTTTTAAACTAACATTTGTTTACAAAAATAAATGTTTTAAATTTATATTTTTAAACTTTGTCAACGTTTTGTAAATATATTATAGATTTAATTAGTATAATCTTATTTTTTATATATAAGGGATGTATTTATATGTATGTAATGTATTAGAAATTGGTTTATTAACTTCAACTATTTTTGCTTCAGCCATTCTTACAAACTCGTTATACTTACACTTAAAGTTACTTTTTTCTGTAAAATACTAGTTAAAGATATAAAGCCCACTCACTAAACATCATCAGCGATATTGTTTAGGGCGTCCTATGATTCAATCGAATCTCTAATTTCAATTTAGAACTGAGTATGAGAAATTTATTACACAACCGAAAATATTTACAAAAAAAATTTGAACAAAAAAAATTTCAATCATATTTTTGATCGAATGTCATTAATGATTTTAGAACCGAAAAAATTTCGATCGAATTTTCGATCGAAAGTCATTAATGATTTTAAAATCGGGTTTCATTAAAATGGTTTACAACCGAAAGTTACACTTAATTAATTGCAATTAAGTGAGCGTTTTTAGAAAACGATGAGGGAAAACGAATAATAATGAATGAAAAGGTTGCTGACCCATACCAAACCCTCAGTCAATGTAGCAGCACTCCACTGCGAGTCAGGCTATTTGTCAGTCGATGTATGTACTGAAGCCCCCAGCAGCAGGCTATTTGACGTTAGTTGAGTATGACATCATCATGCTCACCTAACTCAGCAGTATAAGATATATATATATATATATATATATATATATATATATATATATATATATATATATATATATATATATATATATATATATTAAAGAAATTTTAATTGTTTATTTTATTGTAAAACGACTAAATGAAAAAAAAATAGATTAAAAAAAGAAAGGATTTTGTAATTCGATCCAAATTTTTTTGGTTGTAAAATTCGGTTTAAAAACTTTCGGCGCAAGAAAGGATTTTGTATCCTGCAATGAAAGTATACTTTTCGGTTCTAAAATTTTCGGTTGTGAAATATTTCGGTGATAGTTTCGAGGATAAATATTTTCGGCTCTATCATGTGACACGATTGCAGTTCCGCTTCCTCCTTACAAAGTAATTGAACGTTTTTAGTTAATTTCTATCTAGCTAATTAAATTTCCACAGTAACTCAATGATTTAGTTATTTTATTTGTTTATCTTACTCAGAAGAATTGTTTCAAATATGTTAAACTTTTCAAACTAAGCTAAGCATAAAACAGGTACTGAGGAAACTTTTTTTATTTATTATTAAGTTATGTAGCGTTAGTTTAATTGGTTTA